TAATTTTACAATATTATATATGAATATAATTATGTATAAAATTTGTCCATACATGTTAATACATGTTATTTATATATTATCACGTATAATTATATATATAATTTCATATATAATTTTGCATAATTACGCATACAATTATATGTAATTATACATCTAATTATACATAATTGTGTATAATTATATATAATTTTAAATTATATATAATTATACATAATTATGTATGGATAAATTTTATATATATTTATGAATGAAAAATTTTTTATCGGGTAACATTTACTCGAATTCAGTATATATATATTTTCTGCGTGTATATATATTTTTACCGCTGGGTAATACCCGTGAATGTGAGTACCACTCGGGTAATACCCAGATTATACCAATGGCGCGCTAATCAAGATCGCGTTATCGCGTGCATTATCTACTCGTACTTTTATTCGTCGAGTCATCTGTCGGTAGAAAGTGCTCCGCGCCCCGAATCAAGTAACGAGACACATGCGCGCTGATACGTAAACGATGCGTGAAAGGCGACCGCGCAAATCGAAATTTGTCACTCCGAGAGGCCCGCAGATCTTTGTGAGTCGAATGAACGAACTAGCTGAGCGTGTCTGCTTTGCGTCTGATATCACGCGCTGAAACGAGAGATCAATGAATCCAGAACGCATCGCGCTGACGATTCGCGGAACGAGATGACGATTACGGCCGCGAATGAAGCGAGGAACGAATCGCGCCAAGCCAGCCAAATTTCTTTGGAAAGTCGAACGAGTTTGGCCCCGTCACTTTCGCCCACTGGATTACTGTTTCCGACTTGAATATGCAAAACGTGTTTTCACTAAAGGTAAAAGCAGGACCGTCTATCTATCCTATTCGTCTCGTCCGAGGACTCTCTATTTTTTTTCTTCACGAACGTACCTGTGGGATTACGTAAAAAGAAGATCATTCCTGCGACAATTTCGACATTCTCTCGCGAAGCGCGCGAGCGGGATCAATTAGCACGGTGGCGCTAATTGCGATCGAGAAACACGATCCGCGTCTCGTGTTTCGCATAATCGCGCGCCCAACGCGATTGTCTAATCGATCGCGAAACCGAATCACGGCTCCGCCACGTGAACTACGCGCGCGCTATGATGTATGTCAGGTGGTCTCGTTTCCCGCGACCGGGGCAAGGACAACTAATCGCGCAAACGGCCAAATCCCGTTCAAACAGTCGACCCGCGCGGATCACGAATTAATAGCTGTGTCTGTGCGTCGAAAAAGAGAGAGAGAAAGAGAGAGCGAAGCATATGTATGTGCATGCGAGACACGACGTCTGATCTTACCTGATGTCAACCCGCGACATTCGTTCGGACACCTTCACCGCCTGCGACTCGAACTCGAACACAGAGACGAACGATATAGCGCGGAATATACGAAAAAGTTAGCCCCCAAGCCGCCGGACGCTTTCACTTTCACTCGGTGATCCGAAGAAGAATCGGATATGTGCGATTTGGAATGTCGTAATTGGAAAATAAAAGAGAACAATCGGCGAACTCGCTTCTAGAGAGAAAGAGAAAGAGAGAAAGAGAGAGATAGAGAATGAGAGAGAAAGAGAGAGATAGGAGAGAGAACACACAAAAGCGCGCAACAGGGATCGGTGCAGCGCGCGATGCTGCCGCACACGTACCGTCGTTGGCGGACGACGACTAAAGGAGAAGGCTTTTAACCAGCTGTACGGAACGAGAATAAAGAGAAGTGTCTCTGGATCGTGAATAGCGCGGCCTGCTGCTTCTCTTACTTTTACGCTACGTGTGCCCCTTCCCAGCTGTCCCGGTACTCCCTACCTTCAATCTCGATCGTACCTTCGATTCTTCATCGCGAGGGATCGTTCGTAATAGCTTTCGATGTTCTATATTTTCCGTCCCGTGCGCTCTCTTCGTCTACCATTTTCAAGCTACGAACACAGTCGACGAAATCTCCGAGCTCACGAGTTTTCGAGGGCGAAATCTCTGCTCGAAGTTAATCGAACTGGTCACACAGTAGTTGAAGAGCGAAGAAAGCTGAGTTAAAGAATGAGAGTAGTTGACCGATTTGAACGCGCGGAAAAATATACTTTTGTACTATCTATATATATATGTATATATATATATATATATATATATATATATATGTATATTGCGTTCAAGTAAATGTTAAATTAAAACTTAGTTTACTTATTACATAGAGTAAATAACTTTCTTCTCGACAAAGTTTGATGGTATTCTTGTAAAGAGAATAAATGCTTCTTTTCAGCTTATGATAATGAGCTCTTCTAAAATTTGTGATGAGTATTAAGAAGAGAAGAGAGAGAGAAGAGAAGAGAGGACACACATTACCAAGAAAATATTCTCCCTTGAAGGTAATCATTATTTGAAAGAAGGAAAGTAAACTGAGCAATCGCTTTTCTTAGCAGCGGAGTAACATTTTTTTATGTATACGTCTTCTCGTTTTATGTGTCTTTTTCCTCGTCATCTTCACTTATAACGTCAGAAATGAGAAAATGCACGCTAAGAATTGTTGCGAGACACGTTGAGATCAAATAAAACTTGCAATCGATCCAGCAGATTTATAAAGTAGTCTGAATACTTATCTTTTGTTCAATCAGTAAATTGCCTTATTAAGGCTTCGTATTAACATGATTCTATCATGCTATAATTAGCATGATAGAATCATGTTAATGCGAAGCCTTAATAAGGAAACACAAGTTAGAAGATAGAATGCAAATAATGTTAATTTCACGTTTATTTATTAAATGTTAGAGCTAAGAAAAGCGTTTGAGTCATTTTACGGATATGTTTGATCGACTGCAAATATCATTTTATGAATGCCAATGCCTGAACACCAATGACATCGGTCATTAATTTTGGACGTTCTTATTGTTTTGATCTTTAAATATGAATATTTAAGCTTTATTGCTTTAAAATATATGTTATTAATATCCAGGTTTTGGTACTTTTACTCAATATCTTTTTATTCCAACGTATTTTCTCTTTTTGAAAGAATTTTTGACGCGTGTTTTCTCACTTATAACATCATTGATCAAGAGTTCCGCGGCGAGGGATCAGGAACCTTAATGCTACCATCGTCACGTATTAATTCAGAAAGGGAATAGGAATATGTATAGGAAGAAAGTGAACGCGTAAGTCGCTTACTTTTGAAAAGATGCGATATATAGCTGTGTGTTCGCTTCACGTGAACTGAAATGAAAGGTGAAGGAGCGTGTCAGAGGGCTACGAGAAGGGAACGACGAGGAAAACGAAGGAGACGAGGAGAACGAAGAGAACGGCTTAGAGAGAGGTGCATGATTATGACTATCGAGGAGGCGGAAAAAGAAACGATAACGTCGACAACACAAACACATACAATAGGTGCGATATGAGATGTCTTTTCATTCTTGGTATGCCCATACGTAATATAGTTAAAAATAGCTCAATCATAAAATTAACTCTAAAGTGCTAATAGCAATTAGTCTGTTATCGCTAACGTAGAGTCATCGTGACTCTGTTAATTGTTTCTCACTTGTATAACATGTCTTATTTTTAATATTTTTTAATCAATTGTTTGCAGAACAAAATAAAGTGATATCAATTACAAATGTTTTTTTCTTTATCAAATAGTTATTTGAAGTGTAAATCAGTCAAAATGATTGACACTGGCAAAATCCAGTGTTAAATTAATAATTAATTTGCTTAATTTCTTTCTTCCTTTCTCTCTTTTTATCTCTCTCTTTCTTTCCCTCCACTTCATTTTCAACGAATAAATGACGACAATAGATAAACGGAAGAAAAGATATCTGTCACTTTCCGGAAACTCGAACGTGAGAAAAAATGCAAACTCAAACTAAGAACGTAATCTTTGAACGTAAGGTCCGAATATAGATGCAATGCAAGTCACACTTCCGGGGCAAGTCCACAATTCAATGTTTCTCGGTAAGATGAAACTGCGTGCGTCACTGACGCAGTAAGTGTAGAAGAGTGTTGGAAGTGTGTAAATAGAAAAAAGACGCAACACTGTAGCCGGACTGCCTCTATTTGAGATTACGCGACAAATGGTTCTCCATCGATTTGTCTCTATCACGTGAGATCACGCAATAGTAGCATTAGCATGCTCATCGAAGATATTGCAACACTATTAACGCCAAACGTAATTGCCGCATAATCTTGATATACTCGACGAATTTCTCATATTTTTCTAAAAAAGTTATTTCTACATCAAAAATATATTAAAGAAAAAAAATATTAAAGAATTAACAAATTTTATTAGGTAGGTAACATTAACACATTAACTTAAATAAGAATTCTCCTCATTTAAACCAACTGTTATTTACTTAAACCGAGTAAACAATACTCGGTTTAAATGAGGAGAATTTTTATTTAAGTAAATGTATTAATGTTATTCATCTAATAAAATTTGTTAATTTTTTGTCGTTATTTATTCGTTGAAAAAGAGGGGGAGAGAGAGAGAGAGAGAAAGAGAGAGAGAGGAAAAAAAAGAAATTAGGTAAATTAATTATTAATTTATCACTAATACTGGATTATTGTTTACTTAAACCGAGTAAATAATACTTGGTTTAAATGAAAAGAATTTTGATTTAAGTAAATATGTGTGTTAGTGATATTCTTAATAAATATTTAATAACTTTTATATATTTTTTCTCAGTGTATAATCTATAACAATTATTTCTTTACACACACACAATTTGATCGATCGATATTGATCGATATTCGATATAAAGAAAGAACCCGTTGAACAATAGCGCACACGTGCAGGATGGAGTAACGCGAAAAGCAAATAATGTAGGATCATAAATCGATGTTAACGACACATATATGTTGGCAAAGTTGAAAAAGAAAGGACTGGGAGAGGGAGAGGGGGAATCGAATACCTAGCGCGCATAGGCCCGTGATAGGTTTACCCTCGTTAGAGTTCATTGTTACGCAATCGACAATAAGCCACGTGCGAACCACGCTGGCAGGCGACACCTTTCCTTACCCTTGAGAGAAGGAAGCCTCCGTTGGTGAACGAGTATCGCCGTGCAGCTCTTTTCTTGTGTACGTAACGTAGTTCAATATAACGCGGTCGGCTGCTCCTGAATTAGTATCTGTACTCGTATCTGGATGCTGATTTTTATGTCGATCCGGATCTCGACGTCGCTGCATGAATATCAGACGATTCAAGGGAATTAAATTGATTATCATACTGGAATCCCCACAACAATGCTAACTGAATTATCTAAGTGATATTATATTATAATAACCCGTCATTGCAAAGGTGGGATCTGATCGATTTTTTTCTTGTTTTTCTTGGTTGTTTATAATTCTTATAATTTTTCAAATCTTATATGATCTCTCATGATTCCGTGGAATATTGAGATTTAATAATAGCTAACCAGAAAAATATTCTGAAGACATCACAAAGATTTAAAGAGAACGAAATGGAATGCTTGGGGTCTCTTAGATCTCATCTTTTCGGCTACGCGTTAATTTTTCTAAAAGTGATCTGCTTGAGGACAAAGCTTCGTATGAGATACTTTTTACTCCACATTTTCAATGTTTCTATATCTCAATACATGTTTATTTATTATATACGATATGTAGAATATATTTCAATAAATAACAATATATAAATATATTACACAATATATTTCAATATATACATATTCTCACACATTTAAAATCAGGGGAATTTTATAAACTCTTTTATCCTATAAGCTTCCTCTACGTCTGTATGTAAAATGTGTATTATCCTAATGAATAGTTTGGACAATTCGAGCAATTTGGACAACACAGAACTGGAGTAGGTTCTGGTTGTCCTTATTAACGGCCTACGGGCTCGAACGGGACGATAAACAATGACGATAAACTTAATGCTATACGTGTCGTATAGCTTTCACCGCAAGCTGTACTTGTCCTACCTGTAGAGTCGCGAGTAAGTGGCACGACGTATAATAAATACAACCGGAACCAGGGGCGTGTTAAACGCATTAGACGAAAAAAAAAAATAGATCGGGCACGTGACGTACGTCGCACGGTCCAAGTTTCGCAATTCGCGCGGGGGGGGCACGCGACAATTCCATGATTCACGCATGATTATGCACGCGTAACGGTCGCGGTCGATTCGCTGTTATCGCGCGCGCACACCGACCGCTTGTACTCCCGTCGTCGTCAGCCGATACGGCGAATCGCATTGGTCGGTCGCATGTCGTAAGTATAGTCCGTCATGAGCAATAGTCGCCGCTCTCGCGCGCGCGCGTAGTCACACTATCTCTGGACGATTGTTTCGATGAAAAGAGAACGACCGTGCTGTCTTATTTCCGCCGAGGAGAGATTTCAAGCCGCGTTAAGAAATAAAGTGGAATTCGAAGGCGACAAGTCGCGTTCAGGTGCCAACGCCCACATACTTGAAATGTCGTTCCGAGCTATCGATCATAACACGCGCCAATGACACTTGCGCAATAGCGCACTCTTGTGTTCCCTCTTACGTTCAATTTTAGACTGTTCCAGTTGCGCTTTGTCTCCTCGTTCATTCGACTCGATTCGTGCTGACAGGCCTGGAAATCGGAGTGCCCCGACGTCGTCTTGTATTCTCTTTGTCTCACGGATCCTTCGGTCATAAGACCGATCTTACCACGCTTGCAATAATCGCTGCGTATATTGATATTTTTCTCTTTGGAGCGGGGCATTCTGTTCTTCCAATCATGCTTCAACGAGAAGTTACTGTTTTCTGTTATTTATCCTTTAAGTTTCATAGTTGATCTGCTCTACGGCAAAGTCACGTGTGAGCAGTTTTACCCCATATTTTCAACGTCTTTTTATATTTAAACTCAGGACGGATATATCCTGGATACATGCATACATCTACATACACACACAACACGACAGTCTTATTCACAGAAATACAACATGCTCGCATGACCTTCAGTAGCCGTGATCGTCTAGTGGTTAGGACCCTACGTTGTGGCCGTAGTAACCCAGGTTCGAATCCTGGTCACGGCAATGTGTCGAAGCATTGTCACGGTGAAGGTGGTTTTTTTTTTTCTTTTTATGCCTTCTACATGCTTGTTAAGTAGAAAATTACTCGAAATCGCACGATCAAAATTTTTTTCTCTCTCTTTTAATTATATCTTATAAACATGAACTATAGATTATATATAATAGGGTGTCTTGTAAATCTGGTAATATAGTTGAAAAAATTATGTTTCTACATGAAAAAATAAATCGATAATAAAAAATGTAGAATAAAAAATATTTACATATAGATCTTATTTTTTCAAAAAAATTATAGATATTTATATTAACTACTCACTTAATCTTGTTATATATATATTTATATTATTTGCTTTTTTATTGTATTTGTTATATATTTAGTAATTAAGAATACACGATAAGACAAGATGTAAACAAAATACTTTCTTTTTAAGAATTTTATAATAACATTTATTAAAGCAGTAGTGTGTAAAAAAGCCTTGTAGTTACGTGATATTTATTTTTAGTACAAACATTAATTTAGTTCACTGATAACTTCAAAAGTATCATTTTTTATTCTGCGTGCCTGTTTTTGTTTATTTTATTTGGTCGCTTCAAAAAATGGTTGGAGTAGAGGGATACTCTAATGCGTGACGTTGCACGAAATGTTGCTAAATACTTATAAATCGCGTCATTTGTTTGAGACCTAGTGTAATTGCGTAAATGTTGCATCCAGTTGATATATACGTGTATTAATAAGGTCACAGATGCAGCTTAAGAAACATTCAGCAAGTTGTGCAATATAAACAATTATAAATTAAGGAGTGTTCGGTCGTTACATTTCAGTACAGTGTGAAGTCGCGTGCAACGTGTGTATCTGACTTGATATTTTTTGAACTTTCAACATTTATATCAGTGATATGGCATCGATACGACATCGATTGTTATTATTAATTTATATTCTATATTGTGTTGGTTTGTACAAGAAAATTTTTCTGAACTCTATTCGATTATAATTTGATCGTGCTTGTGACATGAATATTATATATTAATAACAGATTTTTATATTGTTCGTGTTTGAGTAGGCCAATGCCAATTGTTTAGGTGAAGAAATACGCGTTAATATACTGCATCATACTCACACAATTGAGTAGTTTGCTCCAATAAACGGTTCAATCATGACCAATTTATTCAGTGCGATACAATAACGCAATTCGATATGCAACGCGGATGTAAGGCGTTCAATCAGAGTCAATAAGATTCGAATTAGTAAATGTGAAACTTGAAGAATTTGCATTGGTATGCACGTTTTGAAAGTTAATAAGAATTAAATAAATATAATTATTTATCTTATCGGTTTATCTATATATAAAGTTTCTCAGACTCACCTCCGCAAGTTTTGTAGAAACGCATAACGGATTCAGATGAATATAAAAGTCTGATACCGTTTTGCGATATCCGCAATAAATCTCGAGATATTAATTAAAAAAGATTAGTGAATGATCACGCGCGATATGATAAATGAGTTGTAGTATCGCCGTCTGCCGTTATATACTTATATATTAGGTCAAACTGAATAAAAAGTTCCTCTATTTTGCAAGTGACATAGATTTTTAGATATTGATTGAAGAAGATTTGTGCATTATCGCGCACAATCAAGTAACAATTCTCTTTTATTAGTAACTAAAAATTTACGTAGTTATTTGTAAAATGATAAAGGATTTCTTTGTTTAGTTTGATTTAATGTACAAGCACACATTGTCACAGCTCATCTATCATATCGCGCATGATCATTCACCAATCTTCTTTAATTAGTATTTCGACTATTATTACGAATATTGCAAAACGGTATTGAACTTTTATGTTCACTTCAATCTGCTCTAAATTTCCACAAAAATTACGAAGGAGAGTCTGCGACACTCTAAATGTTGTGTGCAATAAAAACAATTATCTAAAATTTATATTTCTGCACAAATAATTCTGCTATCGAAAATTTATATGTATATAATCGCTGCTAGTCAATTTGATATTTAATGTATACTTTTATAGTTATGATTCACGGAATATTAGTGGATATAAGTGATGATGAGATCTGTAGTATATTATGCAAAGAATGTGACGCTTCTGCGGTACTCGTGAACAATCAATGTGAATGCAATTTTAATGACGATAACGAAGGTATTGTTCTATCAATTCATCAGTATCTTGTATTTATACGAGATAAAGTATTAAAATAATTCTCAAATCAAGTAGCATAAGCTGTCTATTTGGCTTAGCCGCTCAATAATATTTTAATTTTTGATGTAGAATGTATACAACGTTTACAGAGAGAGATTCAGACTATCGATCTAAATGCTCTCTCTGACGATTTCACAAACGAAGAACGAAGTTCACGCGCTGCTTTCAAACCCAGACGTCGTCTTAGAATAGGTGAGAGGTAGCAATAATCATACACAAAAATATTTTAATTTTCTATTGGCTGTTGTATATACAGGATGATCCATTTTAAGTGCCTACTTAAAATATCCAGAAAAAAGCTATTATTTGAGAAAATGTTCTTACTTTACCTGTGATAATGTTTTTACAGAAAAAAATTTGAAATTTACACAACTTTCGTCTGGAATATTTTGTTATGTAACTTTTAGTTCTTTAGATATTTGAGTGTTGCTTTCTAGATAGAAAAACCACACCCTGTATTTGCGTCACATTCGAATTATCTCAGAAGTTGTATCTAGTCGATATAGTCATAAAATATTTGAGCTCATGTTCAAAAACATTTGGGCTCGGCAAAATGCGACAATTTCTACACATTTTACTGCAGAATTAGTTTCGTCAAATACTTGTCAAATAAAAGCATTATTGTTCTAAAATTAATTCAATAATTTTATAGCAAATAATTTTGAAAAGCGAACAATTCCTATAAAGATAATTTCGTTTATAAAAAATAAATCTTAAAAGATTGCAATATTTTAGGATATTAGTCATATTTATTTTATTAACAATAATGAAATAATCTGTGTCGTGTTTAACCAAAATCTGTCATTATTGTCCATCACTTTCTGCCACCATTCAATTAATTATCCGATCTTGCGTCTGTAAAATGACTTGTCTCTTAAGTCAATAAAATTATCGACAATCCGACGAACTTTTGCAAATCACTGATTTAAATCGTAGAAGAGCATCTAAAAACGATATCAATGCCTGATATCGAAATAAAGACTACTGAATCTTGTAGGAGATGCCAGGAAAGTGGTAGAATACTTTACGAATGGAGGAGTATCCGCTGGTCACTCGCATTTTCTCAGAGGATCCGATGCAATTTGCGATAACACCAATTCCGCGACAAATTCAGTCTCGGGCACGATTCGTCAAAGTAATACTGAGGACGAACTTTATCTACCTACCAGTGCTCTTTCCGGGAATATATACAAGTCACACAACTTTCCGTTGCATATACTACCAGGAGCCGTAGCGACGATACTGGATCCAGGTATATCCAGCACAAAAACGTATGCTCCAATCCTAGGAATAGTGAGACCAACTTTCGACTACCTCGCGAATCGCTTGTATCCAACAGATCCAGTGTTGGATTCGAACGTCCATCTACTTAGAAATCGGGGACACAAATCGCCATCCCATGTTTTATTGCAAACATTGGCTCTACCTTTGCACACTGTGCACAATTTAGCCGCACGTCGTTACTTTCCGTATTACCCTCCAATGTATCATAATCCCATCGGCAAAAATTCTTATGTAAGTATTGCTCAACTGAATGATCTCAAATAATACATCCGCCAAGATTTCTTACAGTGAATTTCTCTCACATGTATAATTATATTTAATTAACAGCGTATCTCTAATATATGCATAAGTTTGTGTGTATAAATTTATACATAACAATTGCATTTAATCAAAAAAATCTTTCTTTACTAGCCACGACAAGAAAATTCACCGATTACACCCTTGGTCGGTCAACCGTATGGGAATAATAATGATTTCGACCACGAAACTTCTAATGACTCGTCCATCACCAGAAATAATGCAGTAAGTTTCGTAATAACGTGTAGGAGTACGATCGCCCACTCTCATTACAAATAAACGAATATATAAGCTGTCCCACAAACTGCGACCTTGACATCAATGACAATTTGTGAATTTACGAGTTGCGACACTCTGTGCATTGACAAGATGAATTGCGACATCATGTATGCTGATACAACTGACGAATAATTATAACAGGATTATGATTACAGCACTAAAAGAATACAATTGCGCTTAATTTATCGAATACTGAGCTGATATGTGGTAGAGCCAACTATGAATCAAAAGTTTTATTCTTTCAGGATGAATCCGTTCAAGGCAACGTTGCAAGTACCCGTGCTGCAAGAATGAACGCGTTGTTTCCACTGATGCAATATAGGCATCTGTTTTCTCCCTTGGAATATATTCCTTATTACAGCCCTTTACTCTACTCTCCATTCGACGAATATGTTGCTCCAGCTGCTTCACATAATTTCCAACGTATATCAGATTCGACGCTAACTTCTACGCAGAATTCAAACTCTTATTACATAAATAACGCAAATACTGAACGACGAGATGAAGTGCTAACTACTGTTACGGACGAAACTGCATATTCCAATGACGAGCAAGCAAAAAAGACTGATGATGCAACTGATCATACTAGTGTTTCTAAAGAACAAAAAGAAATGTGAAAAATGCAACGACTTTGGAATATGTATACAGAATATTCACCATAACAGTATCCATCATATTTGTATAAGTTACAAGAACTGAGCAGAAAAAAGTTTTAGATATAATTAATCAGTGTTTAAATGGCAATAAGATGCAAGAATATAAAATTTTGAAAACTTTCTTTTTCATAAAAAATCGAGGTTATTTTTTTCTTTTTTTAATGGAATCATCGTAATTCCGTTTTTTATCCATAGTTCTATAAAAATATATATATATACATAATATATATTATCAATTCAGAAGTTTCAATTTTCTGTAAGGTAGAAATAACGTTTTACTTCAGATATTTATACATGTTGATGAAAAAAAGGGAATAAAAAAATAGAAATGGAAAAATTTAACTGTTTGCATTTCAAGGACTACACTTCACTTGTGTTTTATATGAGAGAATTTTTACTTACTTTTAAAGATTAAATATCTGTCTGAATATACATGCCTTTCTCTGTAATTTTATCATTTTTTACTTCTTCTTTTGTTTTATGATTTGATATTATTGTACAATTATTCTCAATATTTGAGATAATGGTATTATAATTGCGCATTGCTCCTTGACATTAGACCTATCACCATGTGGCACTCTAATCATGTATTTTTGTGATCTTACTTGGTATTTTATAACAACTGCATTGCATTCTTCTGATCTTAACACATTCGTTATCACAGTTCATCAGATGAACTTTCCCCACAGCCTTTACCATATTTTTTTATGTAACAGTGTAAAACTGATCTAGATATTGTGCTTAAACAAAGAACAAATGTCACTCACATAATGATATGCAACATTGATCTTTCATGAGAGATTGGTATGTTATATAAGTATGACACTGATAGCAAATGTGTTAAATTTCTTGATATTGATCTCAAATCATTCTAGTGTATAACAATGCATTGTGATATAACATGATTTTACAGTGAATTATCACCTAACAACCTAATTGTTGGTAATGTATTATTAAAAAAAATTTAGACAGAAATTAAGATTGGTCAATTCTTTTCATTCCCTTCCAAAATGACTCGATAAAACATACATGCGACATTTCCATCTTACCATGCCTAGCATGACTAGCAGAATCTTAATTTAAATTTAGTAATGGAAAAATATAAAATGTGCACAAAATATTGTAATAATTCTGTCTTAAATGTTACAGATGAAGTATAGAATTCAGAGATATATGTATATGTATAAGATATATACATGTACAAATAAGTATATACATATATATCATATATACATAACATATACATATGTCACACACATACTAGATAATATATATGTATCATGAATGTGTCACATACGCATACTGGATAACGACTTCAAGTGTTCTTTTTTATCTTCTCCCCTTGCCTTTTCCCTTCTTAGATGTTGATGTGGATGCTTGCGATACCTGCTCACTCGAGCTCTGTTTGCCTTGACGAGTCTTCAGTTTTGGAATTGTGACTCCAATATATTCAAAGAGAGAAATTCTAGTGGGAAACTCAGATCGTATCGGTGTACCATCATCGTTTTTCAACTGCACACGAATGCGACCGCGATAGAGAGGTTCCTTGCTGCGTTCCTTCGGATGTAGTTTATTTTCCACGCCTACGTTGAATCCTGCTGCTACCAGCACATCCCGTATTTCTTGATGCGTTGGGTTCTCCACGCATTTATTCTTGGCTAACCTTCGTCCATCTGTCAAGCTCCTCTTGCTATTCAGATATATCGGATAAATGCATATCCATCTGCAGAAAGCGACACATCGTATCAACAGCAGATTAAAATTCACATAGCCTTATATTAGGAAATAGGTTAACTTTCATATTACTGGATAAGAAGCTCCAAATATTTGAATTAAGAACGAGATATTTGTATTGTTCTCCTTGTTTTTTCAGATAACCTCTGTAAAAAAAATTCTATACTGTAGTTTGTGTAATTCAAATATAAATTCGACTCTGAAGTTATAAACCTGTCACTCGGACAAATATAAGTTAAGTAACATATGGGACGTATTCTAACGACGCTACGGGAGACAATACGTGTACAGAAATATTGTGCTAACTGAAAGTCACAGATAAATCTCAATTTCAAGGTATGTTTGGTAATATCATAAATTTACCTTTCACGTTCGCTGTGCTTCATCGAAGGACTCCACCCCAGCGACATGTCGCATGTTAATATCGATTCTAGCTCTCTCACTCTCTCTCTTTTTCTCTTGGTTTCAAGCCTAAATCGATTCTAGCAATACAGCGTTCAGTTCGTATAATGGTCTCGCATACTGGACACGTTTAGAGATGAGCGATGGGTGATATCCAATGAGAGCTTTGCTTTAAATAGAAATGAGAGCTCATTGGATGTTATTCATCATTCGTCGCCCACACGTCCAATGTGCGACGCCCATAAGACGTCTGTAATGTTCCAAAATATTGGAAAATGGCTGCGTTTAGCAGAGAAAGCTGCTTTGCAACTGTTGTAAAATTCGTGAATCTGATTGGTACATGCTCTTGGATTCAACCAAAATTAAGAGCATGCTCCAATTACATTCACGAATGTTACAACAAAGTTGCAAAGCAACTTTCTCTGCTAAACACAGCCATTTTCCAATATTTTGGAACATTACAGACGTTTTATGGGCCTCGCATTGGACGTGTGGACGACGAACGATGAGTGACATCCAATGAGCTCTCATTTCTATTTAAAGCAAAGCTCTCATTGGATATCGACCATCGCTCATCTTTAAATGTGTCCAGTGTGCGAGATAGTTGCAAAGCAGCTTTCTTTGTTGAACGCAGCCAATGGCGTTGGAGACTCTGCTTTAGTAGTATCTAAACCCAGATATTTGAAGCAGGAGAGTGAGGGAGGGAGAAAGAAATAGAGAGAGGCAGAGAGAGAGAGAGAGAGAGAGAGAAAGAGCAAGCATGAAATTGTACAAAGAAATTGTGATTGAAACAGCATACTTACACTTTGGAGACAATGAAAAGGAAAATCAGTAAGCATAGCTCAACAGGTGCAAAAGTATTAAAAATAGAAAAAAAATAAACTCACGGGCTCGTCCGGGATTTGAACCCGGGACCTCTCGCACCCGAAGCGAGAATCATACCCCTAGACCAACGAGCCATCTGACGATAACTTGCAAATATAATCTTCAGCTATTACACTATAATGTACTGTACAATCATATATATATAAATCACAGTCGTCGATTCTTGCACCTTAAGGAAAACTGTCGACTATGATTGGTTGATTCACTTACTGCTTACGTCTTACTCCTTACGTTTCTTTCTGTGTCACGTCCCTAACCTTGGTTGGACACATTTACACCGAATCCTCTATGTCCCTTATTGAAAAACACTCAATAATATCAAGATATCGGTTGTATTCGTAGGAAAGATTCTTCGCCAGAAAGAAGTTGCTTTGTAACTTGTAAAATTCATGAATCTATCATAGCTCTTGATCATAGCTGTATCTAAAAGCATATACCAATCAGATTCACGAATTTTATGACAGTTATCAAGCTGCTTAATCTGATTTGTATATACTGTTAGATCCAATCAAGATTGAAGGTATATAGTAACACAGATTTACGAATTTTACAACAGTTACAAAGTAGGTTTCTCTCGTGAATGCAGCTATTGTCGTTTGGTGTGAAATTAACTATATCCGTGTCTAAGAAAAAGAAGAAGAAGAATTTCAAAATTTGACAACAAAAGAACAGGACTTTTCTTATTATAATTGGTTATCAATATATTCCACGAAATAAAATGTCCACCGACACTACAGACGAATCAAAATGCGAGTCAGGTAATAAATAAATAATATATTTAAAAGTCATGTACACAATAACGTGCGGAATAATCTTTAAATTTTAATTGATTTGTTTAACATTAGTTCCGACAACGAAGGTGGTTGAAAGCTCCTGCAGTTTTGAAGATACGGTAAAACCTAGCGACGAATTTTTGCAAGTTTTCAAATTAACATACACATTTTCTAAAGATCAAAGTAAATTTAACAAAAGACAAATCAAAACAATGGAAATAAGGATGAAAAAATTGTTTCATAAAGTAATCCACTTGCAAGACACAAAATTTGAAGATATTATAACTCTTGCATATATTTACCAACATGTATCTTTTGCATACCTTAAATTAGAGCAAACAGAAAAGTTATCTGCTGCTAAAGACTTTATTTTGCGTTGTTTACATTTGATAAAAGATAAAGAGTTGGATCCTAAAATTATTTTGCTAACTTTAAAAGCATATAGCCATTTAAGCCATATTTATTATAAACAACACAAACTGGAGAATGCTATAGAAGCACTTGATAAAGCTATAAATTTTTATTTGGTATTTATGGAAAAACAAAGCGACTACGATCTGATTGATTATGAAGATATTATTATTAAACCATCTGTAGAACTAAACTGTTATTTGAAAATGAAATTTTTATATACATTTATATTACGAACATCAGTAGATATACATACAGCGATGGGATCAAGTATTAATGAAAGTTTTATACTACATTTTCATTTGCTTTTAATCGAAGATTTCAATTATTTATCAATATCTGAGCAATATAAACAATGGATTGAAAACGCAATGATAATATGTGATTATTTAATTACGTGTAACCGTTTAGCAGAAGCTAAAAGTTACATTAATAAGGCAATTTTTGTACAAAAAACTGTAACTGCAAAATATATTGATAGTGATGGAAAGAAACCTTTTTCGGAAACATCCAAGTTATACGAACAGTGCTCAGCCACGTTCAACTTAATTAATTTATATCAGGTGAAGTACGGTGTTGCGTTATTACGTCAGTCAGTAAAACGATTGCTGCGATTAGAAAAAGACGAAGATTATAAAGTTAACAACTCGACAACTAAAAATACATCAAAATCCAAGAAGCGGGCATCGCAGAGATTACTAATATTCGCTCCAAATGAAGAAACGCAATACCATTATGAGATGTCGTACATCTCGAAATATTGCGGAGCTCAGAAATACTTTGTCAATATGCTGGACATGATTTACAAAATAGGGTTACATGTTGACTTCGTCAAGAATGAAAACTTGTATATTCAATGTGTATTATATACTTCTAACATATACAAATATATGATATTTTACGAAAAAGATACATTCAATCAGTTCTTACTACAAAGGCGGCAGGTAGAAATTTTAGAGATGGCTGAAAATGTTTTAAGTTATGAGAATAATTGTGAATTAGTAAGACTCTTATGGCTTCAACTGACAATTGCTTATTCTACCCTGATAGACATGAAATTAGAAGATATAGAGGCAGCTCCCCCATCATATATGTCTCAAAAACATGATATACTTGTTGATGAAATTAACGCTTTAGTAGCAAAGGGCTTAAGCTTGCTACGAGACTATATATACTGTAGATAGATAGTCACAAGTGATATTAGATGTCTCATTTGGCACGAAATGACAGTAATGTTATAACAAATTATCGCGCATTACTTGTAAATAATTACTCGGACTCATTTATATCAGACAATTTAATCATCAAAAACTAACTACAGAAAAGATGAGTCCAAGTCGCTAACAAGTGTACAAAGTTTATGCAATTATTGTTGAAATTAATGAATTATTATTATTATTGTTGAAACGAGTTATTATTACTATTATTATTATTATTGTTGCTGTTGTTGTATGTATTATTATTATTGTTGAAATTAACGAATTATTAGAGGTGGGTTTAATGAATTTAATTTTGTATATAAAATCTTATTAGACAATTGCGATAGATAATGAATTTGACAACAAACCAAATTCCTTTGATAGCTTCGATTTATTTCAGTATACTCATTTTTTTAACTATTTACAAACTTATAAAAGTGCGCACTTCGACAACTTGACTTTACACCATTTACAAAGTCGTTGGTAAGCGGGAAGGAAATTGTGCGTATATAAATAAAGAAAAGTGTAAAAAACGTTAGAGATTTAAGTGCAAATAAAATAAAATATATAATGGATCAATATTTTACTCACGTGTTTTTTTATATCTTCTTTTCTAATTTCTCCTTCTAATTTTTGGCTGCTTTGTTCTACTTTTCTTTTCTTTCTCTAACATTCCTCCTTTCTTATTGTACGAACACAGAGTATTCACTCCTTTGACTTATCATTGAAATTTGACTTGAACTGTGTTGCACCGAGTCCTCTGTGTCCTTTGTTGGAAAATACTCAATAATATCAAGATATCGATTGTGTCCGCAAGGAAGATTCTTCGCCAGAGAAAGTTGCTTTCTAACTTAAAATTTATGGATTTGATACTATACTCTTGATCATGGCTGTACCTAAGAGCATATACCAATCAGATTCACGAATTATAACGGTTGCCAAGCTGCTTTGCTGTTCTAAAATTCGTAAATCTGATTGGCATATACTGTTAGATTCAACTAAGATTAAAAGCATATTCTCCTTGTCCACAATCTTGCTTTAATCTTTAAGCCGTAATAAATTGACCAACCACAGTCGATTACTTTAAAAATAATAAATTGTGATTGGTCAATATCTTACGACTTAAAGATTAAAGCAAGGTTGTGGACAAGGCGATAATAATCATACTGACGGATTTTATAGCAGTTACAAAATAGCTTTCTCTGCTGAATATAGCCATTGTCGTTTAGTGCGAAGTTGACCATATTTATGTCTAAGAAGAAGAACTAGAAGAAGAACAATAATTTCAAAACTTGATAACAAGGCGACAGGAGACTTTTCTTATTATATAATTCGTTATCAACATATTCCTCGAAAGAAAATGTTCATCAAAACTACAGACGAATCAAAATGCGAGTCAGGTAATAAAAAAATGATATATTCAAAAGTCATGCAACATGTGCGAAATAATCTTTTAATTGCAATTAATTTGTTTATCATTAGTTCCGACAACGGGAGTGGTTGAAAGCTCCTGCAGTTTTGAAGATACGATAAAACCTAGTGACGAAATTATGAAACTTTTCAAATTAACATACACATTTCCTAAAGATCCAAGTAAAATTAGCAAGAGACAAATCAGAACAACAGAAATAAAGATGAATAAATTGTTTCATAAAGTAATCAACTCGCAAGACACAACATTTGTAGATATTATAACACTTGCATATATTTGCGAACAAATATGTTTTACATACATGAAGTTAAATCAGACAGAAAATCTATCTGCTGCTAGGGACTCCATTCTGTGTTGTTTACATTTGATAAAAGATAAAGAGCTGGATCCCAAAATTATTTTGCTGACTTTAAAAGCATATAGCCATTTAAGTTATATTTATCATAAACAAAAGAAGCTGGAGAATGCTATAAAAATACTTGATAACGCTGTAGATTTATATTTGATATATATGAAAGAACATAGGGAGTACGATATTCCTATCGATTATGAAGATATTATTAAACCATCTGAACAAATAAAAAATGGCTATTCGAAACTAAAATCTTTATATAGACACATTTTACAAACATTAATAGATGTACATACAGAGATGGGATCAAAAACTAATGAAAGTTTTATGCAATCCCGTCATTTGCTTTTAATGGATGAATTGAATTCTTTACAAACATTTAAGGAACATATACAATGGATTGAAAAAGCAATGATAGTATGCAATTATTTAATCATGTATAACCGTTTCGGAGAAGTTAGGAATTACTTTGATGAAATATTTGTTGTACAAAAAAATACATATGCAAAATATAATGATATTTTGGGCAAGAAAACTTTCTCAGAAGAATACAAGTTATATGAGAAGTGCATGGTCGCGTTCAAGTTGACTAGTTTATGCTATGCGAAGTACAATGTTGCGCTCTTGCGTCAGTCGGTGGAACGACAGCTACGGTTAGAAAAAAATGAAAATTCTAAGACTAACAACTCAACAATTAAATATCCATCAAAATCGAAGGAGAGGGCATCGCGGAGATTACTAGTATTCGCTCCAAATGAGAAAGCATATTTCAACACAGATACGTACTATTCTGCATATCTGTTTGCGGACATATTGAATTATAACGAAGCTCAGAAAAAGTTTAGCGATGTTCTGGCCGAGATATATGAGCCAGAGCTACATCATACGCTCGTCGATGTAAACTACTATGTCTCATTTATATTATACATTTCTAAGATGTACAAATATATAGCATTCTATGAAAAAGATACAGCCAGTCAATTTTTACTACGAAAACGGCGCGCAGAAATTTTAGAAACAGCTGAAAATTTTTTAGGGAACAAGAATGATTGTAAATTACTCTTGTGGCTTCAACTAACAATTGCTTATTCTATCCTAATAGACATGAAAGTAGAAGATTTAGAAGCAGCTCCCCTATCATATTTACCCCAAAGACATGATACACTTGTTGATGAAATTAACACTTTAGTAGAAAGTGCCTTAATATTCCTACGAAAGTATAAGTGTTATAACCTAATCTAGATAATTTAATATATGTATTATAAATAGACATCGGGCTGATGTAGGATGTTTCGGCACGAAATTACAATAATGTTACAAGACTTACGAATAGTGAGTCATATTCATAATAATTTTATATCATCCAGATCTAACTTTGGAAAAAATATGTTTAAACCACTACCCAACGAAAAATTTTTCATATATAATTATATAAAATTATATAAAATTATATGTAATTATATATAATTATATATTATTATGTATCAAATTTGTCCATTCATGTTCAAAGATTCTACTTATATATATAATTACATATAATTATGTATAATTATATATAAATTTATATATAATTTTACATAATTACGCATAAATTTATATGTAATTATACATATTGTTATACATAATTGTGTATAATTATATATAATTTCATATGATTATATATAATTATACATAATTATGTATGGACAAATTTCATACAAAATTTTGCATAAAAAATTTTTCATCGGGTATGCAAACGACATATATTATATAATTCGTTATCAACGTTATTCGTTAAGATTTATGCAAATATCGTTGAAATTGACGAATTATTAGAGATGGGCTTAATAAATTTAATTTTGCATATGAAATCTTATTAGATACGACAGATAATGAATTACACAACAAACCAAATTTCTTCGAACAGTTTCGATTTGTTTCAATTTGTTTCGATCTACTAGTTTTTTTAACTAATAACAAGCTTGTAAAAATGCGCACGTCAATAACTTTATATTATTTTGCGTCGTTTGTAAGAGAACAGGAGATTTTGTACATATATGAACAAAGAAATGTGTAAAAAACGTTAAAAATTTAGGCGCAAATGTAATAAAATATATCATGGATCAGAACATATTACTGACTTATTTTCTTATATCTTTTTCTCTAATTTCTTCTTCTAATTTTTATCTGGTTTCTTCTACTTTTCTTTTCTTTCTTTATCATTTCTCCTTCTTTACCGTTTGCATACAGTATTTATACAGTATTCTTTGACTTGTAATTGAAATTTGACTTAAATTTATTTTCGTTTCAATTGCCGATAACAAAAATGTACAATTGTTTATTCTAGCAATTTTATTTCTTCATTTTAACTAGATATTATAATTTTATTTTAATGTTTACGATTTGCTTATTTCTTTTGCATTTAAATCAACATAAATTTAATGGTATGTTAGGCAATCTTCTATTTTCAAATATCGAAACAAATATTAACCGTATCTTCCGCGTATATTTACATATAAACATAAACGGCGGTTATAAACAGACTGACCCTAGGCTGCTGTGAAAACATGGAATATGATTGAATATAAAATGGATTATTGCCTGAGGATATCTTTGAAAATCTCTTGCTTACCACTAACATAAGTAATTAATTAAGTAAAGTTACCACGTATAACAGCAATTTCGAGATATTAGCGTTTACTACGGAACTCGGACAGACCATAAACATAAATAAGAAAGAAAGGAATAAGAAGGAACAATAATAAATGCAGAACTTGATAAACACAATAAATTGTTATCAAAATCTATTGTTAGAATATTGAAAAAGATGCCTACCTGAGGGACAAGCAAAACAAAATGTGAGTCAAGTAATAGAGAAATATCTATTATGTTAAATATATATATGTATGGACATATATGTTCAACAATCATGCAACACATAGAGAATAATCTTTTATTATTGATTTATTTAGTTACGAACGGAGTTGTTCGAGATCATTAGCAGTCTCGAAATCATATTAAAACCCAGTGAACAATTCTTTCAAATTTACGGATTGTAATTTAAATTTTGTATAAATCGAAGAGAATTTAGCAAAACACAATTCAAAACAATAGAAACTAAGATAAGTAATTTGTTTCATAAAATAATCAACTCGAAAAATACCTAGTTTTTCTAGAAAAATGACACGTTGATTGGCTACTGCGTTGCTTCATCGAGAGCTGCTGCGTACTGTGTGTGAAGCTTATATTAGACTAGGGATTGGAGATTGAGGATTGTGGATGGAAGATTAGATTTTGACGAATCAGAAAATTTCGGACTTGGCTTGCTTTGTTCTAATTGGTCAAGTTCCAATCTTTAATCCGCAATCCTCATTCTCCAATCTAGAGTATGATACAAGCATAAAAGCCATAACACTGTATCATTGATACATTGTGTGTTGGACATAGTTACCGAGTCCTCTGTGTCTCTTGTTGGAAAACATTTAATTATATCGAGATATCGGTTGTGTTCGCAGGAAAGATTCTTCGCTAGAGAAAGTTGCTTTAACTGTACTTTGCTTTTGCTGTAACTTGCACAATTCATGAAACTGACACCATTCTCTTGATCATGACTGTACCTAAGAGTATATACTGATCAGATTCACGAATATTATAACAGTTGCCAAGCTGCTTTGCTTTTGTAAAATTCGTAAATCTGATTGGTATATACAGTTAAATTCAACCAAAATAAAAGGCATATAGTAATCATACTGACGAATTTTATAACAGTTACAAAGTAACTTTCTCTGTTGAATATAGCCATTGTCGTTTAGTGCAAAATTGACTATATTTATGCTTAAAAAGAAGAAGAACTAAAAGAACAATAATTTTAAAATCTGACAAAGAAACAGGAGACTCTTCTCATTATAATTAGTTATTAACATATTTTTCGAAAGAAAATGTTCATCAAAACTACAGACGAATTACAACGCGAGTCAGGTAAAAAAAATGATATTCAAAAGTCATGCACATATACAATACGTGCGGAATAAACATTTATTTAAATTGATTCGTTTAGCATTAGTTCCGACAACGGGAGTGGTTAAAAGTTCCCGCAGTTTCGAAGACACCATAAAACCTAGCGACGAATTTTTGCTATTTTTCAAAATATCATACATGTGTTTTAAAGATCCAGATATATTTTTGGAAGGAATCAAGACATTATATATAAAAATGGACAGATTGTTTCATAAAGTAATTAACTCGCAAGACACAAAATTTGAAGATGTTATAACTCTTGCATATATTTATCAACATATATGTCTTGTATACGTGAAGTCAGGTCAGCCAGAAAAGCTACCTGCTGCTAAAGACTCCATTCTGCGCTGTTTATATTTGATAAAAGATAAAGAGGCGGATCCCAAAATTATTTTGCTGACTTTAAAAGCATATAGCCATTTAAGTTATATTTATCATAAAGAACAGTATATGATGGATGCTATAAAAGTACTTGATAAAGCTATAGCTTTATATTTGATGTATATGGAAGAACATAGCGAGTACGATATTCCCATCGATTATGAAGATATTATTATTAAACCATTTAAACAAATAAATGGTTATTCGAAATTAAAATCTTTATATGAATACATTTTAGAAAAATCAATAGACATAAATATTTATAGAGACGCATTTTATAAAAATCAATATACATAAAAAGATGACATAAAAAATAATGAAAGTTTTATGCTATCTCGTCATTTGCTTTTAGTCGAGGAATTGAATTGTTTACAAACAACTAAGGAATATGAACAATGGATTAAAAAAATAATGACAGTATATGATTATTTAATCATGTATAACCGTTTCGCAGAAGCTAAAAGTTACATTGATCAAATATATATTGTACAAAAAGCCATAAATGCAAAATATATTGATACTAAGGAAGAGGCATCTCCTTCGGAAATATCCATGTCAGCTAAACAAAGGATAGCCATGACTAAATTAATTGTTTTGTGCTACATGAGGTACAGTGTTGCGTTATTCCGTCAGTCGCTGGAACGACTGCTACGGTTTGAAAAAAACGAAGATTCTAAGGCAACAACTCAACAACTAAATATCCATCGAAATCGAACGAACGGGCATCGCGGAGATCACTAGTATTCACTCTAAATAAGAAAGCGTATTTCGACAAAAATACGCACCGTTATATGTATCCGTTTACGTACATATTGAGTTATAACAAAGCTCAGAAACAGTTTATTAATACTCTGAACAGAATTTATAATTTAAACCTATATGTTACGCCCATCGATTTAAACTTCTTTATTTCAATTATATTATGCTTTTCTAACATGTATAGATATATGGCATTCTATGAAAAAGACACAATCAGTCGGTTTTTACTACAAGAGCAACGTGTAGAAATTTTAAAGCAGGCTGCAACTATTTTAAGATAATAGAATAATTGTAAATTACTGAGACTTTTACAACTTCAACTAATAATTGCTTATTCTACCCTGATAGACATGAAACTAGAAGATACAGAGGCAGCTCCTCCACCTCATCTGTCCCAAAGACATGATACTCTTACTGATGAAATTAACGTTCTAGTAGCGAAGGGCTTAACATTCCTACAAAGATATATGCGTTATAAACAGTCACAACGGGGTGATGTTGAATGTCTCATTCGGCACAAAATGATAGTAATGTTATAACAAATTGCTGAGCAGACTTACGAATAGTGATTCACACCGATGATAATTTAATATTATCAAGATCTAGCTTCGGAAAAGATGTGTTCAAACCGCTATGCAAATGAGTATATATTAAAGCTTATGCAGTTATCGTTGAAATTGACGAATTATTAGAGGTGGGTTTAATAAATTTAATTTTGTATATGAAATCTTATTACAATAGATAATAAATTTCACGACAGACCAAATTCCTTCGAACATTTTCGATTTATTTTGGTCCACTCATTTTTTAACCTAATAACAAAATTGTAAAAGTGCGCACTTTGATAATTTGACTTTGTAACATTTTGCGTTGTTTGTAAGAGAAAAGGAGATTTTGTACGTATATGGACAAAGAAAATGTAAAAAACGTTAAAGATTTAATGCGCAAATAAAATAAAATATATTATGGATCACAGCATTTTACTGACTTATTTTTTTATATCTTCTTCTCCAATTTCTTTTTCAATTTTTTTCTACTCTGTACTACTTTTCTTCTCTTTCTCTATCATTCTTCTATCTTCATAGTTCGCATACAGTATTCACTCCTTTGACTTATAATTGAAATTTTAATTCAATTTATTTTCGTTTTAATTGTCAATAACAATAATGTAAAATTTTTTATTCTAGCAATTTTATTTCTTTGTTTTAACTAGCTAGGTTAATAATATTTCCTTAATATTTGCGATTTGCTTATTTGCTTTGCACTTGAATCAATTTCAATTCAATAGTATGTTAGACAACTTTCTATTTGCAAATATCGAAACATATATTAACCGTATCTTCCGCATGTCTTCACATGTAAACGTAAACGATGATTATAAATAGATTGATCCTAGGCTGCTGTAAAAACATGGAATATGATTGAATATAAAATGGATTATTGCCCGAGGATATCTTTGAAAATCTCTCGCTTACCACTAACGTAAATAACTAATTGAGTAAAGTTACCACGTATAACAGCAATTTCGAGATATTAGCGTTTATTATGGAACTCGGACAGACCATGAACACATTTAAGAAGAAGGACAACATTAATTGCAGAACTTGATAAACAACTTGATTAAATTGTTATCAGAATCTGTTGTTAACATATTGCTTGAAAAGAATGTCTACCAGTGGCATAGGCAAAATGAAATACGAGTCAAATAATACAGAAATATATTATGTTGAACTTATATATGTATGAACGTATATATGTTCAACAATCATGCAACACATGGAGAATAATCTTTTAATATTGATTTGTTTAGTTTCGAATATGGAGTTGATCAAGAGCATTAGCAGTCTCGAAATCATATTAAAACCAAGTAAACAATTCCTTCAAATTTACGGATCGTGATTTAAGTTATGTAAAAATCGAAAAATATTTGGCAACACAAAAGTCAAAACAATGGAAATTAGGATAAGTAATTTGTTTCATCAAATAATCAACTCGAGAAACTTCTAGTTCTTATAGAAAAATGGCACGTTGATTTACTATTGCGTCACTCTTTCGAGAGCTTCCGCGTACTGCGTGTAAAGCTTATATTAGTCTAAGGATTGGATAGAGGATTGCGGATTGAAGATTAGATTTTGACGAATCAGCAAACTTCGGTCTTGTCTTGTTCTATTTGGTCAAGTTCAAATCTTCAATCCTCAGTCTCCAATTTGTATTATGATACGGCATAACACTGTATCATTAATGAAACATTCTGTGTTGAACACATTTACAGCGAGTCCTCTGTGTCTCTTATTGGAAAACACTCAATAATATCCAGATATTCGTTGTGTTAGCAGGAAAGATTCTTCTATATTATATCTACGTCTAAGAAGAACAAGAACTAGAAGAAGAACAATAATTTCAAAATTTGACAATAAGGAGATAGCAGACTCTTTTTATTATATAATTCGTCATCAACATATTCCTCGAGAGAAAATGTCCACCGAAACTACAGATGAATCAAAATACATGTCAGGTAATAAAAAAATTATATATTCAAAAGTCATGCAACACGTGCGGACTAATCTTTTAATTTCAATTGATTCACTTAGCTTTAGTTCCAGGAAAGGGGATGGTTGAAATTTCCTGCAGTTTTTTAGATACGATAAAACCTAGTGACGAATTTGTACAAGTTTTCAAAATAACATACATACTTGCTAGAGATAAAAATAAAAATAACACAAAGCAAATCAAAACAATAGAAATAAAGATGAAAAAATTGTTTCATAAAGTAATCAACTCGCAAGATACAAAATTGGACGATGTAATAACTCTTGCATATACTTATCAACAGGTATGTTATGCATACCTTATGTTTCATCGGGAAAAAAATCTATCTGTTGCTAAAGAATCCATTCTGCGTTGTTTGCATTTGATAAAAGATATAAAACTGAGTCCCAAAATTATTATCCTAACTTTAAGAGCGTATAGTCAGTTAGGCTCTATTTATCAACTACAACAGAAGCCGGAGAATGCTTTAGAAATGCTTAATAAAGCTGTAGATTTATATTTGTTATATATAGAAGAACATAGCGAGTACGATATTCCTATCGATTATGAAGATATTATTATGGAACTACCATCTACAAATAGTTATATAAAGCTAAGATCTATATATATGTTCGTTCTACGAAGATCAATAGCTGTACATGCAGAGATGGAATCAAAACCTAATGAAAAGTTAATGCGATCCTATCATTTGCTTTTAACTGATGAAATCAATTATTTGCAAACAACTAAGTTATATAAACAATGGTTTGAAAAAGCAAAGAGAGCATATGATTATTTAATTATATGTAATCGTTTTCCAGAAGCTAACAATTACATTAATACCATGATGTTTGTAAAAAGAACCTATTTATATGCAGAATATATGGATAGTATGGAAAAGAAACTTCCTTCGGAAGAATTATATGAACAGGATTCTGCCACACTTCAGTTAATTACTTTATGCCTAGCGAGATACGGTGTTGCGCTTCTTCGTCACTCAGTGGAACGACTGCTACGGTTAGAAAAAGACGAAGATTCTAAAGCTAATAACTCAACAACTAAATATTCATCAAAATCGAAAGACCGGAGATTATTTCTGTTCGCTGTAAATAATGAAGTGTATTTAGACTCAAGTACATATTGTAATATAACGCCGTTTACATACATCTTGAATTATGACAAAGCTCAGAGATTCTTTTACAGTATTCTGAACACGAATTCTAAATTAGTGTCAAATCTAGTCAATGTCAAATTATATATTTTACTTACATTACACACTTCTAACATGTACAAATATGTAGCATTTTATGAAAAAGACACTGGCAGACGGTTTCTACTACGAAAACGGCACGCAGAAATTTTAGAGGAGGCTGAAAATATGTTAAGTTATCAGGATGGTAATGAATTACTAAAACTCTTATGGCTTCAACTAACAATTGCTTATTCTACCCTGATAGACATGAAACTAGAAGATATAGAGGCAGCTCCCCCATCATATATGTCTCAAAAACATGATACACTTGTTGATGAAATTAACGCTTTAGTAGCAAAGGGCTTAAGCTTGCTACGAGACTATATATACTATAGATAGATAGTCACAAGTGATATTAGATGTCTCATTTGGCATGAAATGACAATGTTATAACAAATTATCGCGCATTACTTGTAAATAGTTAGACTCATGACAATTTAATATCATCAAGATCTAACTTCGGATAACATGTGCTCAAATCGCTATGCAAACGAGTGTACATTAAATTGTATGCAATTATCAGTGCAACTGACAAATTATTAGAGGTGGGCTTAATAAATTTAATAATTTAATAATTTTGCATATGAAATCTTATTAGATACTTACGATAGATAATGAATTTGACAACAGACCAAATTTCTTCGAATAGTTTCGATTTATTTCGGTCTACTAATTTTTTTAACTAATTACAAGCTTGTAAAAATTAGCACTTCGACAACTTTGTATCATTTTGTGTCGTTCGTAAGAGAACAAGAGATTTTGTGCGTATATGGGCAATGAAAAATGTAAAAAACATTAAAGATTTAGGCGCAAATAAAATAAAATATATAATAGATCAGAACATTTTACTGACATCTTTTCTTATATCTTCTTCTCTAATTTCTCCTTCTAATTTATATCTGCTTTGTTCTACTTTTCTTCTCTTTCTCTATCATTTCTACTTCTTCACCGCATACAGTATTCACTCCTTTGACTTATCATTGAAAATTGACTGAAATTTATTTTTATTTCAATTACCGATAATAATAATGTATAATTGTTCATTCTAGCAATTTTATTTCTTCGTTTTAACTAGTTAGAATGATAATTTTTCTTTAATGTTTACGATTTAGTTGTATTTTTTGCATTTAAATCAACTTAAATTCAATGGTATGTTAGACAACCTTTTATTTTCAAATATCGAAACAAATATTAACCGTATCTTCTACGCATCTTCATATGTAAACGTAAACGACAGTTATAAATAGACTAATCCTAGGCTGCTGTGAAAACATGGAATATGATTGAATATAAAATGGATTATTGCCCGAGGATATTTTTGAAAATCTTTCGCTTATCACTAATGTAAGTAACCATTTAAGTAAAATTACCACGTATAACAGCAATTTCGAGATATTGGCGTTTATTACTCGGACAGACCATAAACACAAGTAAGAAGAAGGACAACAACAATAATTGCAGAACTCGACAAACACAATAAATAAAATTATTATAAAAATCTATTATCAGCACATTGTTTGAAAAATATGTCTACCTGAGGGACAAGCAACACGATATGTGAGTCAGGTAATCGAGAAACATCTATTACGTTGAATATATATATATATATATATATATATATATATATATATATATATATATATATATATATATATATATATATAT